GGTGTGAAGCCAATGGCCTTCCTTTGTGTTTGTGTGTGTGACCTGTGCTATAATTAAGCAGGGTATGTGTGTGTCACCACTGTGCATGGCTCACCCAGAAGGATTTTTTGCTTTTGCTCTCACCTTGGGGTCCTTAAATTCTTGCTAATGCAAAATTGCATCTAATGTAGGAACGCAAAGCAGGCTAATATGTGATTGGCTTGATAGGTGCAGGCATTTAAATGTAAGCGGAAGATGTCTGAGCTGGCTGTCCTGCAGTGGAGTCCCTTGATCTTGCTACTCAAGTCTTCCTACCTTTTGTATCTTCAGCTCAGCTTCAGCTCCAACAGATGGCACAGCAGCAGTTCCCAGTCCAGCAGCAGCAGCAAGCTTTGCAGCAGCAGCAGCAGTTCCAGGCCCAGCAGAATGCACTGCAGCAGCAGTTCCAGGCTCAGCAGCAGCAGGCTGCTGCAGCAATGATACAGCACCACCAAATGCAAGCAGTTCAGCAACAGCAGCAGCAGCAACAGCAGCACTTGCTGAAAATACAGTTGCAGCAGCAAAGCCAACAGCAGGTAATGAAAGAGCAGTAAGCAAATGGAGGCATTGTGAGTTGCAGCTCAGCCTCCAAACCTGCAGTGCAGCTGCATGAGGTATTTGTGCCACTTCCAGGTATTGTGCCAAATCCAGGTATTTGTGCCACTTCTGTTTTCCAGGGATAGTGAGACATACAGAACTATATAACCCCATCAGAGACCTGCTGGATCAATCCATGATGGTCCATCTCCTTCAGTTTCCCATAGTGGCCAGCCAGATGCTTCCACATAGACCACAAACTGAGCCAGAAGGCAGTTAACCCTCCCCTTTATTTCCCTAACTGGTATTGCATGGTATGTTCCCTGTAAACACTGGAGATTGCATTGACCCAATTTGGAAATATCCCCTTAGAACTCTTTGCAGTCTCTGTGTGTTTTTACCATCCTGAATAATGTTTGTCCAAATAGCACTGGTCCCATAAAGTGTATGTAATCAAATCTCTTTTGTAGGCAGAATCATAATAAACCACCAGCTTTCCTGGTGAACGTAGTCCTAAGCTTGCTTTCTGGAAGGGAGGAAGAAAATAATGTGGAACATAAAGCTGTTAATCACTGCACTAGCAAACCTGATTTAGGAACGAGAGGGAAGAATTAAAATAAGGAGAATGTGGCACCAGAATTTGCAGTCCTTTAAAGAAGAATGTGTGATCTTTTAATTGTGTGTTTGCATGAATTCCACTTGAGTTGGACACTCTCTGCCTTCCTAAGATATTTTAGGAAGAGGGGGCAGAACAGACGGAGATGCTGGGTTATTGGAGTTCTTTGAAACTGACCTTTTGGGGTGGGGGTAGAAGTTCAAGCGTGGGTATAGATCAACACAGAAATGGCCAAAAAAGTGGTCTCCTGAATTGGTCCTCCAAAGGTGTCGTGTCCCATCCCCTCCCAGAAATCCTTTGTTCAAATAAACTTGACTCAAAATCCCTTCATGGCATGTGCCATGTTCATGGCAGCACGAGGGTCTCGTTCCTGTTCTAGGACCTGAACAGGCTAGAGAGATGGATGTGACTCTTGAAACTTGTTTCCTTCAAATATTTCCGGTTTCTAGATGCAGCAGCAGCATAAACTACAGCGACTTGCTCAGATGCAGCAGATACACCAGCAGGCAGCCCAGGCTATGCAGGCCCAGCAGCAGCAGCAGGAGGAGGCAATGCAGCAGCAGATGCAACAGCAGCAGTTGTTAACCGCCGTGAGCTCTGTGAATTCAGGGAAGAGCAGTATCTAAATTGAAATTATAAATAAACAAACCTTTGAGCAAGGGGCGTTAAAATATCCTAGTGGGGGTGTATGTGTGCAGCTTGTCAGCCAAGGAACTCAGCAGGACCCATGCTTGGCTGTAGCAGCCAAGCGTTGGCAGGTCTCCAACAGCATGTGTGTCTCCAATGTGGCCACTTACCCAGGTCTGCCATTGTGCTCTGGACCCTGGCTGGGAGGTCTTGATTGCAAGGACTGACAGAGGGGTGGACTGGAGGCGGGAGCAGCCCCAAGGGGTTGGGATGCAGATGACTGATGTTTCCACACCACCCAGTAATTCACCACCCTCGGATTCCACCTCCACAAAAAGGTTTTATCAAGTGCTCCATATCTCTTCTGCCTATGAGCAAAGAGTAGAGGGCGAAAGAGGCTCTGCCCCTGACCCCTGTGACACCCCAGAACAGCTGGGCACCGGTGGGCTGGCAGGTTGGGCTTGTGTCCCCCCCCCAGCTCTTCCATCCTCTGTTCCCTCTGGCCACTTCAGCTGGCCTGCAGCCTCCGTACCCGTCTGTGGAGGGGTCCTTCCTCCATTGCCATGGCTCCCCTTTGTGCAGAGCGATGCTGCCCT